GACTGACAGTTGTTGCTTATTAACTGTCTGGAATGTGCATCAGAGACTAATGGGCATCTTAATATTTAACTGCTATGGTGCTTGTATGATCTCCTAGGAGCAGCTTGCGCAGAAGAATCACCTAATTGGTTCATTCAGCAATCAATGATACATTCTGGTAATATTCTCTTTTCTTTGGATTCAGGAGCGAACAGTGTTGTTCAAAACGGCCTAAATCGCGCCGAGAGAACCAATTACACGATGCAAAGTACGGTTGCGCACATTCCTCGGTGTTCCCGGTGAGCATTAGGACCACCAAGGAGGAAGTACGACATCTCTTAAACAGAACAGAACTTTGTTTTGACTTCCCCAGTGCTGAAAAGCTTTAGAGCGACGCCAGAAGACCCCTCCGCCAAAAGTCGCATGGCGCTGGGGGCGCCGCACGTGCACAGTGCAAAAGGTGTGTCTGATGCTGGTGAGATGATTCAAACCAGAGTGGAAAATTTGTAATAGAGTTACATATAACATATTCTCCTCACGCATCCAACCGCAGGAGAGTGCTCGTGGATCACAAGGATGCTTCCCCCGGACGTGTCAGAATAACATACAAACCTGTATGAGCCCAATTGTACTGACTAATGAACAGAGGAAGAAAAAGGGTAACAAAAAAAACACGCATTTTTCATCGCACCGCAATCTGGGAATTTCACAGAAGCTTCAGTCCAGGCAGAGGAGGTGTGACACAATGGTCGCGTTTCTGCAGAACAGACGACGCAACCACGTCGGGGGGGAACGGGGAAGCGCCGCTGTCCATTGGGATCAAGAAGAAGGCAACAAATATCCTGGGAAAAGATACCTGTGGTGTTTATTCTTAAAAGAAAACAGAAGTGAAAAAGCCGCCTGACTCACCCGGACAAACACACAGATTACAAAAAGTATTCTGGTGTAACCCGCTTGGTACAAAGTGGTCTTTTTTGTTTTGTTCTTCTTATATTCAATACATCAAGGCGGAAGAGGAGAAGAAGACACACTGGGATCCACAAGACAAACCTCCACTCAGCGGAGGGAAGATGAAAGGACGAAGCAGACTTCTTTGTCGTCGACTCTGTTGCGCACAAATCATTCTTAGCGTTTGTTTATGTTGGACGGTGTATTCCACTCCTCCACCCCCCCTTCTCCCCCCAATCCCCCTCGCCCCCCCGTCCCGGCCTCCTCTATAAAAACGCTGCTTTATGAGCTTACACCCATTTTTTACAATTTGGACGGCGTGTCCTTTGTTCTGGCACGTAGACCCGAACTATCTAATGAACTATCTGATGCGTTCACTGCACAGACGCACAATGATTGAAAAATACAAGAAAAAAAAAAAAAGAAAAAAAACGTGACTCAATTAATGTACCTTGTTGGCTTTGGCAGCTGACTTTTTCTTTTGGACAGCGGTGACGCCGGATAAGAGTAAGACAAATCATATCTGTGGAATGTCCGAGTGAACGAAAGAACACAGTGTCCCGTTTGGGCGCCATGAGATTCTAAAAAAGACCCAAAACAGGACCGCTATAAGCAAAATATAGAAACTTGGGCAGGAGAAAGTGAGGAAAATAAAACAAACGGCGTCCGTGTGTGTGCGTGTGTGTGTCAAGAGGACCTCAGAGGACATCCGAAATGTCCACGTAGCACAGGAGGACATGAAATGTTGGATCGAGGAAAGCGCTCATGGGCAGATTTGCCTTTTTGTTTTCACTATGGCAGGTTGGCCCAGTTAGCGATGTGGATGACTAAGTACACCTGTGTGTGTGTGTGTGTGTGTGTGTGTGTGTCTGCGCGTGTGTGTGTGTGTGTGTGACGCTATTCTGATGTCCTGCAGGCAGGAGGCGGGTATTTATCTTTCAAGGATAATTATCTTTCCATGGCAACTGTCCTTTGATACTTCTAACATGAAGAGAGACAGAGACACACACACACTTTACTTTTCGGCCACTGTGGGGCCTGCGGATGAACATGACACGCAATACTACCAAATGTTCCCCCTTATTTACGGCCAAAGAGTTGGCCTGCCCGTTCCTATCAACACGTACAGCAGCAGAACATAAAAATAGGTTTCATTTCTGGCCACCTCGAGCGGGTGAGCCCAACGTTCACTCTCCTTTGAGCCCACTAAATGAATTAAAGAATGGAACAATGAAACGTAGCGGTAACAATAGCGCCCCCCCCTCGTTTTTTTATTAGGGGCGCCGAACGCCACGCAGCACAGGTGACCGACTATTACCATATATCATCACAGGGAGGAAATGCCCCCCTCCCCGCTCCCCTCAGTCATTCGGCCCACTGTTCTTTCAGCTAACGCGATCATAAACAGATGAGTGGTGGGAGGAGGTGGGCGGCTTCCGACTGCGTCGCGCTAACGGGGAAATTCCTCTCCGAATTCCAGCTCTGACTGAACGCAGGATGCAGACTACCCCGGCCTCCCTCCCGGCCTCCCTCCCTCCCCCCCACGGGAGCACAGCAGCGGGGGGAAAGCTGGGAGCGCCACGGATGGACTGGAGGGGTGCAGAATGAGTCACTGGAATCAGGTGTTCCAATGAGAACACACAAATAGGGGATTGTCCATGAACATTTTTTTTTTTCACCCCCCAAAAGTTGACGTCATCCATTTCTTGATTCAATGATTGAATCATTAGGGCTGAATTTCAATATAATGTTTCACAGCTGCTGAGTCACTGATAGAATAAGCCGATAAACACGTCCGAGTGCGTTAAGTGTTTGAGGGGGAACGATGGCGCGGTTATGACAGCTGGATAACGCAGATGAATTCAACCTGGATCTGGACGGAAAGGAATTATGCACCGGCCCCTTCACCATAAATAAGATTCATTAAGACACTGATGAATGCACATTTCATATTACCGCCATCTTTTCTCATCAGGGCACTTTCTGAATGAATCAATACTGGTCTTGGTGGTGATTAGAGCGCTGATGGATCAGAGCCACGCTGCCCTTTTAATGGTACGATTTTCCATCAAAATGACTCCGGCTCACTCTTATTCATCATAATAGGTAAGGACGTGGGCATAGAGAGCCCTTCCTTTCCCCCTGCGGCATCATTAAGGTGACCGATTGTGAATGCGCCCCCCCCCCCCCGTCACTCCGCCGTGCGGCCGCTCGTCTTGAGAACAGAATTTATATTTCGGAGGTCTCTCTTTTCTTAGTCCAGGGCTCGACTACACTGAAAGAAAGAGACCTTATGAAAACACAAGAGCTCTTGGGATAATATACACTTCCATGTCGTCTCTGACACACACACACACACACACACACCGAACACACACACACACACGGGACTCTTTTCCTTACAAAACGACAGAGGAAAACTAAACAGTCCAGATGGGATGGACCCCCCCCCCCCACCCACTCCCTTCCAGACCCAGTCCCTGAGAAACTCATCCCTGTGACATATGACATTGACAGACAGATGCTGTGAAACAGATTTTGTCCTCCAAGACATTTGTCTTTCCCCTCCTGTTTGTTCCTGCATGGATCAGATAGGAGAAGATGTGAGCCAGATGCTAGACGGTCTGCTGACTACTACACTCGGTCACCCGACCCTGCAACCCAAGTGTGGACCCTTGCTTTTTTTTTTTTTTTGTTCCCCTGACAACGTATCCACATTTTAAATAAATTGAATCCCACACATTTGGCTGCAGAATACTTTAAGCGAAGGACTTTTAACGAGCCGAGGTGTTTTAACAACACCAGACATGTTCTCTTCTGGCCTGGATAAGAAATCACGTTGCAGAGGTCCGCGCTTATGAAAAACCCATATCACTTCACCACGTTCCTACCTTGCCTGTTACAAAATGGGTGCTCAATCACCTTATAAAAGCAGTGCTTCAAGTTTTGGAAAATAAGGGAACACTGCCATCTGGGGGGGGGCGGGGAATCCTGAAAGCGACCCTGTAGTGCAGGAGTGAGCTGTGGAGTCTCACAGCTCTGTAAACACTGCACACAACTTGTGTTGGAATGATATCATAATATTAAGATAATCCATAACCCTTTAAAACTTCTACGGTTAAATATTTATAAAAATCTGACATTCGAAAAGCCAAATGCCAAACAGCACCGACATGGTTTTTTTTCCTAAACACAGCAAAAAGATGAACCGCTTTCACGTTTCATGGTACTCTCTTGGTAAACAAATTTGATGATGTTGTCTATTCGACCCACGAAGTGGCCTTTGTAAACTGGGAGTACAACAGCGTACCTGGGTTTGATGCGAGCGCGAGCCAAACCCATCCCAAATAACATTCCTTCCCCGAGGGAGAGACGATCATTAATAGCGGCTCGTGGCATTTTTATGGAGTTTTTTTTTTTTTTTGGAAGTCGGCTGGATGGTTCCAGTTAAAGTGAAGGAAAGTCAAAAAAGGGAAGAAAGAAGGTTCGACAGAGACGGAGTGGGCGGCGGGACCCCGCGAGGCCACAGCGTTCATCAGTCCAGGAAACACGCCGAGCGCAGAGCCCGCGTCTGCCACACATCTGAGCCGCTGTGGGATCAAAGAGTGCGCACGCCTTCAAGTCTCAGAGCTCACCTTTTCAAGTTAAGATCAAAATGAAGCCCCAAGGTGGTTCAATGAAAAATAAAAGTCTCTCTGGATGGAAAAACTTGGGTCGCAGAACTGCACGAAATGGGAACAGCGGGAATTTGGTAGCACGTGTAACCTGAGACGCGGGTTCACTAGCAGGCTGTTGATCAACAAATGACGCTTTAGTGGAAATGTGCAGTCGGCCGACTGAAAGAGGAGGAAGAAGGAAATATTTGCATGCCTATTTATTTATTTATTTATTTAAATTGAATTTGCAGATATAGTGGAAATAGTCAAAGAACCGATAGAATAAAATCTATATTGGACAGCTACTAGGTTGAAGAAATAATAAGAAATCAACCATTTGATCTCATTGGATCACTCAGCCCGCTTTGTTCGCACAGCTTTGGCAGCGAAATTGTTTGTTCAGTTCGTGGCGCTCACCTTTGGTTGAACATCCCTCTGAAGTTGTAGTTGGCTCTGTAGTTGGGCATGGGTTTGGGGTCCAGAGGCCTGTAGATGGCGGGCTCCCCCCTCTTCATGGCCAGACCGTTCAGCTCAACCGTGGGTGTTATGCTGCCTGTATACGACGGGAGACATGAAAGATTTAAACCAAGCCGAAGCACAGCGGCTAAAAACACTCAATATCAAGCGTTGTCAGGGTAATTTATGAAATATTTGAATCTGAAAATAAAACGAAATAAATGTTTCAAAATCCCTTTTTAGATCGTGTCACACAAGCACCAACCTGACTTTAGTAGTTGTTTTTCGATAAGCACGTTGATACAAAGACGATGTCTGTATGCGACCTATCAACTGTAGAACGTTCCTACCTACCTGGCTGATGTTGCACAACCCGCTCATGGTTTTCTCTATTAATTAAAGAGCTGGATTTAATGTGTTTGACTCCTAAATGCCACCGAGGGCTTTGGAGATAAGAGGGACTAATGGTATTACTTTGGCTGGAAATAAAAGCATCGACACCGGGGCTTTATCGAGTGGCTCTGTCCTGGCTGTGGCCTAAACACGGCTTATTTAAATAGCGCCAGTGGCTTGAGAGGTACGCCCGCAAGTCAAACTCATGCAGGTTTAAATACCCCAAAAACTGAAGCTTCCAGTTAATAACAGACGTTCACCCATTCCCTCTTAATCTCAGGCCTTTTCATTAGGACTACACAAGCAAATATATAAGTTGTGACATGGATGGATGGTCCTCAATACACTCCGATCCAAAAATGAACACAAGAGGGCACTGATGCAACCATTTAAAAACATTTTAAAAATTGTCCAAATAGACAAAGTAGTTACAGAGTAATTGCACTTTTTAATGGTGGTTGAGCCATTTTTGGGGCAGAGGTAAATTCATTATTGAAAAACTTTTCAACCATCCATAACAGAATTTAACATCTAGTTGATGCTGCTTTATCCTCTCTCATAACTCCCTCCATCAGATACTCATGTTGAACACTCACATGATGCTGTGTTGCGTGTTGGCTGCTTAAAACCTTTTAAGAATGTCCTCTCTGACAAGCTTGGAGCGGCGTAAGGAAGTGAAGACAGGAACAGAGTCACGTCACACTACGTGGACGTACCGTCATATTAGTCACTTCTGTAGCGCCGGCAGCTTTAAATAATGCACACATAGTATGTAACAAGTAAGGTGTAATTACTATTTTGCCGCTCGCGCTACTGTCGCATATTCAATTGACACTACGAAACAAATGTTAACATACTCATGGATTCAACTAGCAGGAAAAGATAATGGAACATTTAATGAAAATCGTGTGTGAACTGGTTGTAATGTTTAAGGTTAAAAGTATGTGCGAAAAAAGAAAAACTACGCTTTTTACGTGTATATATTCCAACTATAATGGAAAATATAGGTAGAAAGGGTCAACTAGATTACAAATAAGTGGCACATTCACAGCAGTCTTGCTCTGGAAAAATAAGCGGACTATTGACAACCTTCACAAGTTATCCCATCTTAACTTGACTGACTGCTGCATCTGCCATCAGCACCTGTGTCTTGGCACTAAAGTACCGTTTCCAATTACTTTAAATATTTCAGTTGGGGGCAAAAAAAAACAAAAACACGTGATGACCGACATTAACTTTAACATTAGCTTTGTAGCTTTCACCAAACAACTGCTTAGCCATTTTGCACCTGTATAATATCAGCTAGTCACAAGTGGGATCGCCCATATCCTTCGCAGACACATCCTTAGCACATGGTGCAAAGACATTCTGTCGTGGTTGCCGTTACCTGGATTGCTGTTGATGTCCACTTTAGGAGAGCGGGGCGCTGGCCTGGGAAGGACACTCTCGTCCAGCGCTTTGGCGGCTGTGTAGTGCTGGGCCTTCTTAATGCTGGTGCCCTCGGCCTCCCACAGCTGCTCCCCGAGAGTCAGCTGCACCGTGAAGATCTTGAAGCACCGAGAGAGAGACATTTTTTTTTTTTTTAAATGGGTACTACAAAAGATTATAAAGACAGTCAGAGATTAGTAAACACTTTATTTATTTATTTTTTTTTTCACCCAGCACAACTCATCCCCGCAGTTTTACGGAGTGAGTTTTCCTCACCTTAGCGTGTGCAGGGCCTCTCTCATTGAGGAGCTTGTACTGTGGTTGGATCCTATTGAAACGGGCTAACTCATTCACCAAACACATTGGAGTTTTCTCTTTAGGGTTTGCCATGTTCTCCTGGGGCGGGCCTAGAACAGAACATGCAAGCTCACTAAGTCACATAGTCACAGCACACACACACACACACACAACTACGTGGGAGTCGAGTAAACAAATCGGCACGATGCAAACAAACTACCCCCCTGTTGGCGTTTTACCTGGCGATGTAGGAGACACAGGGGCGTCCCCATATCCGACTGCAGGAGCAGGGCAGGCGGGTGTGGGGGCCGGGCCTGTGCCGTTGACGGAGGGCTGCAGACCCAGGGCTCCTGGGCTGGCCATGGCCGTCGGGGAAACTCCGGGGGAGAGGCCAGGACCAGCCAGGGGTGCTGAGGTCTGTACTTTCACTTGAGCCATGCTCTATTCCTGAAACCAGACGGCCACTTTAAAGCTTTTCACACTAGGGCTTTAGGTTGTTTGATTAGAAAAACGCTAATAAGTGTGCATCATTATTTCACACAAGTTTCGATCTGCTCACTGCCCCATGACGGATTTCTGCGGGTAAAGTCCGTAGAAGTAGCTTCAAACCGAGCAGCCCTAGACCTATCTCACATTCTCATCCCCTGGCAGCTTAATACACCCAGACAATGAACCTCTCTTTGAAGCCGCTTTGCTCATGTTACTGCTGCTAAGCTCCCCGGAGAGAGAAAAAAAATAAAAAGAAAGGAGAATCCTGTGATAGCAGTCTGAAAAAAAAAAAAGGACAAAAGGAAGTTGTATGGAATTATATTCAAGGCTAAAGTGACATAATATGCCACCATGTGTTTCTCTCCAACAAAAGATGGAGATACCGGAGTTTGTAAATATCTAATCAGTACATTGAAAAAAAAGTTACAAAGTGCATTATAACACCATGCTACGATGGTTCCACCTTTCTCACGTGTAAGAGGGTCAGACCCGGGACCCCTGCAGGTGGACAAATCCAACAACGTGCACTTGGGGGCACAGATGCCGGCTTTGAACCCTGACACCTCGAAGAGGTGGACGACCATCTCCCACCCACGTGACCTGAGCGCTGAACACGCGTTCGTGGACTTCACCCGGAAATCCCGACGACAGGTTGTTACCCCAACAGCTAATATCGGCTGTTTTCACACACAAATCCAACGCCACTCCGATCCGTGAATTTACTGCCCCAGAGGTTCTGATGGGGGGGGAGAAAGTGTCCCGGTCCTTGCCGCCCTCTTACAGAAACATGCGTGCATGCATTCATTCATACATACATACAACCCGCCTGCACGGTAAACGGAAAGGGGGGGGGGGGTGACTTTTGAAGAGCGACAGGGCTGCCTGCAAACCCCTGAACCTGAACACACCGCTGCTTCGGCTGTGCCCAGCTTAGCACACGAAGCTAACGTGGCCAAACGAGCTTAAAACGGCAATTTCCCGTGAATGTCAGCTCCTAAGAGCAAACCGACAGAACTGACGGGCGTACGCGCCGTCGTCGCCGGGCCGCCGGCGGGGGTTTCACCGGGTGAATTGCAAAGGGTTCCAGCCGGCTTTCAGTGACGCTAGTTTAGCCGGTTGTCGCTCATCATGGCTGATCGGCCGAGCACCCCTCTTGCTAGCATCTCCATAACGCCCCATCCTCCGACCGAAGTATATGGGGTTGTGGGGGGGGGATTTCAGTCCACGGCGACATGATATACGGAGTGGCGACAGCGTGAGAAACCGTCCGGAGACCATCCGACAGAAAAGGGACAAATATCTTAGTGTATTTTTACCTTTGTCCAGGGCCAGACCCCAGTTACACCTCCGACATTGGCAAACACTAAAGAGAACTGGATGGAAGAGGGGACAGACCACGTTATTTGGCTGGGTAAATTCTGTTAAATGTGACCCGCGAGGGGCAAATGACCGGTCTTTTTTCACATTTCTCGCATAAAGTTTGCGTTTCGTTTTCGTGGTCGTTATTAAGCGTTGCATATTACTTACCGCCATTGCAGTTTGGGTTGAATCTTGAATGAATAACAGACGGTGTCAGACACCCCCGCGACCGGACGAATGGTTTAGTCCTGGTTTGCTTCCTCGGAACCTGAAGCGTTGCAACTTTGATTCAAAGTAAAACAGAAGCTTCTTATACTTGTTTTCTGCACACATCATGAAGGGTAATGAGCTCGGTTGAATACATTTAGTTACATGTGATGTATTTTAAAGGCGCAAGTGACAGTTGTTTTGTACGTTAGGGTAAAACACATATTGCCCATTATTTTTTCTCAGGGATGCATCTTACTACGCCTTTTGTCTTCCAGAGAGCACATAACCTCCCACAGATTAGCACTCCGTAGGGGCTGTTGGCCGGATTTACTGCCTTTGCTCAAGGGCACCTCGGAGGCCAGGGGTTTACCTTGCTCTCTTACGAGAGCCCACAGTTAAGCGCCTCTAAAGCAGCAATGTCGGTCGGGTGGTCGGTGGTGATTCCGGCGTCCACACAGCAGCATGAGTTGCATTAAATGAATCTTTTCCTTCACTTCAGTGTTCATATTAAAGCGGAGCGTGAACCACAGGTTTGAATCTGTAACGTCACGTGACCACCAGATGGCGCCACCAGCCCACTTTTCCGGTGTCACCCGCTTTGTGCAGGTTGTGTGTCAAGAGAGATACTTAAAACTGTCCGATTGTACTTGAATAATTAAATAACACATAATTGAATAATAACATAACACAACACTCAATGAAGGCTAACTGATGATGGACATATTCCAACATGACAATGTCTGTCGAAAGACATCTTTGAAGGTAAGGAATGCATACGTATAGCCCCGTTGTACCTCAACCCCCTCAAGTATAGAAATGAATATTTCACTAAGAACTTTTAGGAGCTTGCTGGAATGACACATGTGAAATGACATGGCAAAAACGTTTGTCTGCCATGCCATTTCACATGCTTGATGATGTGCATCACATTCTTAAAATGAGATTGACTGATTAGTGTGATTGAGGATAGAGACTGCGTTTTTTTTGCTACACAGTCAAGCGTTTTGGCGTCCCCGCTCGGACTTCTGTGTTTTTGGCAAACACATTATCATTTTCTGCCTAATTTCTATTAGAAACCCTCCCCACACCAACCACTACCTTTAGAGTGGGGCTATTCTGTTTTAGGTAATGTCAGCGTAAAAAGAAAAGAAAAATCATAAAAGGCTTTGAGGCTGTAAACCAAGGTTGAATAAAAGTTAATCTTTGCTTTTATTATTGATTATGAAAATGAACAGGCACCTTTTACATGGAGCTTGCACATCCCAGAACATTTCAAAAATAAATAACACACCCTCATTATTGTTGAACACTCACAACAACCTGCAAGCTAAGAGTTCAAACCACATTAAGAAAAGGAGGGGAAAAAAAGAAAGAAAAACATGTCACGTTCAAAACCGTCGAACATTTTCACTCGCAGGTTCAAATCTCTGATCTACTGCCAACTGGGTGAAGAGCTGTTGCGTTCACACAATCATTTGCAGGCCTATCTGCTTTCCCTCACAGCACGGTAACAAAAGATAAAACCCCTACAATGAAGCTAAAAAAAAAGAACAAATTTAAATAAAAGAAATAATGCATTGGTTAAATAGAAGTCTTTAAGTTATCAATATAGTTTGAGACAGCAGTGTGCCGCGGTAATCTCCTCTACAGTATAGAGTATCATAACATTCACTCAAGTCCATTCAAGAAACTCAGCTAGACCCTGGGAAAAAAAAGAAGAAGCGAATGCAATATAAACAACCCAAGATGGAAAATTCAAGTATCTCTGACTGAATGGGGATAAACATTTCTTTAAGAATGGTTTGATTACAGTCTGAAATGACAAAGGGCCCAACAGCCTCTGGATATCCATCACATAAACCATTACCCAAGTCGTGGAAAGACTTTTTAAACTCGTCAAAATGTCCGACGCCAATAAGAAAATGTAGGGTTTAAAAATGCATGCATCCCCCACTGTAAAACTACTAACCTTTTTTTTTTTTGTTGCCGACTGTACACATCCTAATTAGCAAAAGATGCAGACTAAATTGAAATAATGCAGTCCGATCACCATTCTGCTATTAAGTAAATGCATCCTCTGCTAATTTTTGCTCAGATCATCCAACCATCTAATGGCTTATATACAACAGTTTAAGACATGTTATTAGCTTACATCAACAGTCTCTTTTGGTGAAAATATAGTCGGGTATCTTTTTAGAGGCGATCTCTCTATTAAAAAAAGTACCTGAGCCAAAACGCTGACCAGGGGGAAAAAAAAAAAAAGAAAAAAAAAAAAAAAATCACAAATGCCTCATCTTCAAGGCTTCCTCACTCATTAGCACTCTTGAGAACAAATTATTAAGCAACATAAGAGAAAATCCCAAATACACTTGCCCATCAAAACAAACCCCCTTTTCAAAGCATCAGCTAGTTGAGCGAAAAAGAAAAAAAAAATAACTCAACGTTTAAAAAGATTTCAGAAGATTAACGCCTGAAATTAGAAATCTGTATCACACAAATAAAAATGGATCACGCAACAATGTTCTCTTCCAGACATTCTTTAAACGGAAGATAGGCCGCCACGCGTCTTCGAGGCCCGCGGACTAGCGAACACTACACGAGTTCAGCCCAATTCCGGAGGTCTGATTGCTCTCTGTGCCGACACGACGTCCCACGGCGATCGGCTCTCAAGTGGGAAGATGAAGAGGGAGAACGGTGTACTCATGATACATAGTGGTTACAAACTAAAACCCTTTCACCTGATAAATAAGTGGAGGACTGCTTCCGGCAGTACATCTGCAGGTTGGGGTTAACGTACTAATAGTGTCTTTATGAGCTACTTTCACAGTGCATGTAATTTAAAAGAAAAGAAACAAACAGATGAAGCATTTCCTTGGGGTTACGATGGTCAGATCCCTCCCAGAAAACGAGCAGATTTGGATTTGTCTTTGTAGGCCCGAGCATGCATCCATCAGTTATTATTGCACAACACAAGGACTTTAAAAATGCACCCCCACAAAAAACAACAACAAAAATCGTAAAACAGGAATTATAATAACGTCACTACAAATCCACCTTTCTTGCTGCGTTACTACCTTTTTGCCAAAAACTATACCTTTTGGGTGCATCTAAAACGTTCCCATTATTTTTCCTATATTACATTTGACTAAAACATGCATCCAATTGCCCACGGTGGGTGGGGTCTGGGGCGGGGCGGAGGGAGAGAGGGGGGGGATGCAGTTAAGAGCATCCAGCGCACGGTGTCCATTGTTCCAGTCAAAGTTCAGAGTTCAAAGACTGAATGATTAAAAAGTGCTTTATGTAGGTCAGTAGGACTTCTTTCTTCTACGATCCTTACAAAGTTTGTACACTAGCAGGTATCATCTGCGGAGGCAAACAGAGGAGGAGTTCAATGACATCACCTGTACAAGCAACCTGTGCGAGCAACTGTTCGTTCCGCTCCGGGGGGGGGGGGGGGGGGGGGGGGGGGGCTGAAGGTACTCACCGTGATACCACCATTTTGTCTTCTTTGGGTTTTTGTTACACGTTCTTACATAAAAGGAGTTATCGGGCGGTCGTCTCTGCAGGAAAAATAAAATTTCAGATTCAACATTCAACAAGCATACAAGTCCCCCCCTCCCAAACCAAACACTCAGCTCCCTTACCTTTTCTTTGCAGCTAGACAACATGCTGATAATGCTAAGACAAACTGATTGCACGGAGAGGGCTGGCGACCAATCTTCGGTTAGTATAGATAGACAGATGTGGCCGTTACTATACACGTGGGGGTGGACAGGTATATTCTCTCCTGTGAACATTACCTGCGACAGGAAAACAAAACACACCACAGGTCATAAAGACGAATCATTGAATAGGACATCCAAACGAAGCCAAATCAAAGCGGCGCCATTCGGTTTCATTTTTAAACGCCTTTCGGTGATCAAAGCTACAACTTGGGAGTGCAGTCGTCCGGGAAACGTTGAGATTTATTTTCCATTAATGACTAAAAGTAATGAGGATTGCAGTATAAGCTCCGGCTTAGCCTCCTACAGACATCATGAGGCTCTGGGATTAGGACCGAGGGGCCGGGGGTAGTGCGAAAGGGGCTAAGAGAGGAGACACGTTTTGTAAAAAAGAAAGAAGACGTGTGCTAGAAATAAGATAGTGGGGGATATTTCCCAGCAGAAGAGTGCGAGAGTCATGGCTAAACACGGAGATACAAGAAGTGGACAAAGAGAAGACAGGAGGGTGACGGGGGCCAACACCGGGTGGAAGCCGCCTGGCACCAGACGGGGCCTCACTGAAGAGAGCCTCACACCTGGAGGCTGGAGGGGCTAACGGGAGGAGTGTTACAGACCGGCGCAGACACGTACATATTACATCAATTTTTTTTTTTTTTTAAACGGTTTCAGGAATAGGCCCATTTCACACAAGAAAAATAGAAACAAAGCAGACGGGAAAATACTCAAAACCCAAATCAATGGAGTCGGGATGATTTATGGTGAGAGAGCCATTAAATTGAGCGGGAATAAAAAAAAAATCATGTTACAATAAAAAGTGTCTCACGAACAATGTCAATATCAGCGCAATATTGTGCACAGTCACAGATCTTATTACACCATGTGACAACACATGGTCACATCACCCAGCTACAAGCTGTAAAAGCAAAAGTTACCAACTGCGTTCCAGCGCGACCTGATGATCACAATGCTTGTTGGGTTTTGTTTGAACTACCACTGAAGCTGTTCACACATCCAGTGACACAGAGCCCCAAGGGGCCCTCAAGGGATCCAGCAGGGGGCCACTCTGACAGCTCATCCTTCCCACTTGACGGGATGATGTCTAAGGAGTTGATCTAATGTTCTCTACACCAGTCTCTATTTTTAGGTGGGCTGGGACTTGTTCCTCGTGCGTGGCTAACTCAGTTAGCCGGATAATTTTCAGGATGAGATGACGTAGATCAGGATTTTAGGTTCCCCGAAGCAGGTTTGTCTAAATCACCATAGCAACACATCGAAAAACCTGAACCCGCTCCGGCGCAGGTTCATCTGAGCTGCTGGATTAGTTCATCCCTGTCCCGGGAAAAAAGGGCAGCTCACTTCCTCATTGATGAAGGAGCGATATCAGTTAGATTAATGTTTTACAGAGAGAGACTTCTCCGAGATCACAAAGACCCGTTTACCCACGATGACGTCCTGCACGAGCGCTACAGATGCTGAGGACAAAGAATTATTTATTTACAAGATTTCCCCGAGCCAAAACGTTACACAATGAACACCACACGCTGCAGTCGAACATCCACTGTCCGACTGTCTCTCATAATGTCCCACATACTCCTCACGTCTCAGTGTCTGACACACTGCCTCTCATACGGTCTTGCCTGTACGGTGTTGTGATGCAGAGAACACCTGGAAAGCCGCTGCTTGTCGTGCTCTTAGTAAAGTTCTGTTGGTTTATTTGTCGCTTAATAAACTTGAATGTTCCACATTTCACTGCTTCAATTGATCAAATGTCTGATTATGAACAATGGATATATAATGATTCTTCCAGAGACTCACCCACACATTATTACACATATAATAAAAATGCTAGTTCTATATGGTCATCTACACATACATATGATACATACGCTGATACAGTACATATATCCTATTCATTCGCATCAATTTGATTCTTTGGGATTGTTTTCATATACATACATACTCAAGAGTTGAGATCATTATTCTCATTGGACGATGATGCATTCATGAAGCCTCCTGCAAGCAGGCACATTTAAAAAAATATAATCTGATTGATTAGAGTGACAAAGCACTTAAATGAGCCTATACATTTTACCTTCCCGCATAACGTTAACTTGTCTGCGATACTTTGTCGGGCTTGTAGCCTCGTAGGGGGGCAGTGTCAGTTTTTGCCATGATTATATGATTCATTTCATTTTATTTTGTATAGCACAATATCGCAAAGTCTTTACAGTCTGTACACATGTGACATCCTCTGTCCAGAAACCCTCACATCGGCACAGGAAAAACTCCTCAAACAATAAAAAAGTATTTGACGGGAAGAATAAGAGACAGAGGACGTACAGAATGAACAACGTAAAATATGTATAATACGTTCAATTCATCCGACAGAAATGATTCAAATTAACATAATATCTCATCATGTGTTCATGATCATCTCCTGCTAGTCGGCGGAGAAAAAAGACGCTCTTCCTTTAAGTTTATTTGCCGTTATATGGAAAAAGGGTAGTGGACATTTAGTCAGGTAAGCCTAAAGTATAAGTTCAAATTTAAAAAAAGGAATAGGACCCTTGGCCGCTTCATTCGTCGTGTTGAAACCAAAAACTTAAACCAAAGCAGATGTCCAAATACTGCAGTACTTCCAATAGTTGATTTTTAAGACTGTTTTTCCACAAGCCACAATTTGCATCCCAATCGATATCACGGTTGTTGTCAAATACTGATGCACAAATTGTAACCCAAGTAGCTTTTTAGCACTGGTCTCAGCTGGTAACTTATAACGCTGGACATAGGTACTCGCCAGCCTCTCATCGCAGTACGGTCACTTCAGTCTTCAAAAAGTGGAGACAACCAAAAAAAGCTGAGAGCAACACAGAAACAAACGTTTACCACAAACAAACCAACACTGAGGGTCGTGCTTACCTGAGGGGAATCAAATGGATATCGACTACTGAATTTGAAAAGCAGCTGAAATTTCTCTCCTTCATAGAGGGTTCCAGATGCTCCCTCCATGTCTACAATCCACCTAAGAGAAAGGCACAATATCAAAAAGATACATGTTAACATTTCACTCACCCTACGAACGAGGTTTCCATTTCAAAGGCCGTTTCAAGCACGCTCAACCTTCCGCTTCAACATTTAAATAACCGAGGAATCCAGCTGTGTAAAAAGAACCACTGACAGATGGACCAGTCACTTAACAATGTTGTTTCTTCCTTTTCTACACCTTCAGATAACTTTAAGACTGTTTCAGAGCAGGTGGAGGATAGTATGTAACTGACAACACTTCCTTTACCAACAAACCTTTAATATGCTTCAGGAGGAAACAGGACTAAGGCAATGAAATATTTATACGCCCTCCCCGATCCTGTGACTTCACGCTACAAAGTCACGAGAAGAGGAAGATTGTTCAGGCAACTTAACGATGGCGGCCGCGGTTAGGTTTAGGGAAAAACATCACCAAAGGGCTGGAAATTGTTTTCATGGAATATCAGGTACAAAGTTAAATTTGAGCGTGTTTTAGCCTTTTGTTTATTATCAAATACCTTTTGAAATGAATGACAGTACTTTGTGTTACCTACTTAATTGTCATTCAAATATTAGTACCCTAACTACCTCACTTGTCAGCCACCCTGAATTTCTATTTATTTTGTCGCTCGCTTTGAAAAGCTACAATAACCGCTAAGAAGAAAAATGAACGTGGCAACTGACCTGAAAGGATTCTGCCTCCAGGCACTACGTGGGAGGCTGACTGGCTGACTGACCCCTTTAACGATGGGTGAAGGGGTGTTTTATGGGGAGATATTTTCTGGAAATGATGTGCAATGTAGTTCACATTGTACGTCTCCTCGTTTGTTTACACAACCTCCTGCAGTGCCTGCTGCTAGGACGCGGTGTTACTCTTTCAGCGGCCGGGTTTTCTTAATTAGCAAATGTTAGCAGTTGGTAGAGTATGGCGACGGCCTCAGCGGGCTACTAGCACGTTATTTGCTGATGATTACCGTCACGCTGTACGTTAGATCTCATAATTCTAGCGTAGATTAGCGGGAAACATGCAGAATAACTCTCATGGATCATAGCTCATTATCATTAGAGAGCGATCACACTAAATGTGCAATCAGAAGCTTTTAGTCTGCCTGATTCAAGTGACATTTAATAGCCAGCGTGGATATGATAGCGGTTTAGTAATAAGCTGATATTGATATTGATCGAGTGGACTGAATCCATTTTGCCTCTGTAGCTCGGCTACAGAGCTGTGCTGACTGAGCTGGGAGGAATTCAATGACTCGCTCAGAATGGATAAGGGCCGCTAACACGGGGGCTTGATCCAGAACCATTGGAGCGAAGGGCAGTCGACCTGCTTAATATACCTGCGTGGCAATAAACCTCCAGCAGCAAAACTGCACACATTTAATCCGGATCATTAACTGGGATTGCCTGGGTATAAGAGAAGAAAAAATGTACACTGATGGCAGCATCACAATCTCTGGCCTAATTTCTTCCGGGCAAGCAGGACAGAAAGGTCAACAAAAGGGACTCGTGGTTGATGTTCAGGGCCCTAGCCTCGTCTCTTTCGGATCCAGCCTCGAGCTCATAACCATAAAGGGCCTACATATGAGGTCAGCAGTGTTTAAACGCAGCATTTTTCCTCGAGAAGTGAAGCAAGGCAGTATCATTGTTCACAATGCAGTTACACCTGATGCCGCCCCTGTTGATCACATGCAGTGAGGGACAAAGGACATTGCACTTTTTCGATCATATAATCGAGTCAAATGATCATCAAGCCATGCAGTGAGAGCACGGGAAATGATAGACATAGGAGACTTCTGAGTGCCTTAAAGCATTAGTTTCCTTGTTTGCGACTCAACTGTGGCTGTGGCTGTGGACTCAACTGTGACTCCATTATCACACAGACCACATTATAATCCAACAAGCAGCTATAAAACCAAAAACAAATGGTCCCTTCATCTTTGCCACACGATGTATTTTAAAACTGGCCATCCGTCACTATGAAAAACAAACCCGGGCTAAACAAACTTTTATTATATTTGACGACAAGAGAGCCACACCCATACATATAACCTCCCACGTGAGAAGCAGTGAGCAAGGAAGCCAGCCGAACTGGTTTGTAGACTTGCCAGTCGTAGAACTGACCTGCCATTCGCCGCTAGCGACAGGGATCTATTGAGGAAGATGTTGTAGCGATGGAATGCTCGTTGTTACATCTCTAAAACACAATCACTGTAACGTGCATCGTCTCTTGGCAAAAGTGCCCGGAGAGGATCCTGAGCAAGTACGAGGAACTTGTGCAGCATTGAGCTTCGAGCGATGGCTAGTCTTAAATTCACTCTTTGGTTCATCATTCCTTACCGCATATTATTATTATTATTATTATTAAGGGAATCACACGGAGACACAGACGGGACAGGAAGGTCAGCTAAGCAGACGGTTTCTGGCTCGCCTAGCCCAACTCCTTCCTGCAAACCATTTAAATACTTTTTTTAGAAGGATGAATAATTACACCAGGCTTTAGGAAACAGTCCCAGGAATGACCCTGATTCTTCTTCAGCACCAGTTATCTACAGTTATTGGTTGTTGCATATGTGGTACCACAACATATCCATCCAAACATCAAGCATGAGATTTTCTTCATTTAAAGATGGGACACCGTAGTCAAAGAGCATGCCACAGTGACACAGAAACAAATTAATTGCTTGTAATAAAACATAAGGACAAAAACAACTTACTGCGTGATCGTGTTCTGTACACTTTTTTCGTTGAGCGTCATTCCAGGGGGCGGATCGTTTTGCATGGCTAATAATTCCTTTTGTAGCCTTTTCTGTTGGGAGAGAATGTATTTGGGTTTAAATCCCATTGAACAAATGGTAATTTAAAAAGCAAATTCAGAGATACGGAGAATAATTACCGAAAAAACATGAATTATGGCGTTTGGCTGATTCATTTCCGATGATGATTAATATGAGTGTAAATGTAACTAAACGTCAACACAAACAAATCTGATATGACTTGTGTAACTTATAATAAACTGTAATTATGCCAGAAGAAACGATACATCTCAACGTCAGACATCAGCAGATGGATTCATTCCTTATACTTAAAAAAAAAATGTTTTAAATAAGGCAAATGGAGATGAACCTACTCAAATCGAGAAAAAACTAGAACCGGTCCATCTGCTGCGTACCGTCTCGTTAGCTTACGACAACCTCTGACAACTAGCAATTAGTACTCGGTTAAAAACATTACAACCAATGTAAACTTAAGGCATCACATTCCTTCAACGATCATCTGTGTGTTGCTGCGAGACAAACGCATCGGCAGACATTAACATGTTTTCGCGGAGGTGGTTTCCACGCTCGCCCTGACTCGGTGCTGGGGATGCTGATGCTAGCTGGCTGTGTTGCTAGCAAACACCTAACGCTAAACCGGAACTGTTTAAGGATAGAACTCCTCGATTTTACTTCAATACCACCACCGCTTCGAACAAATACATGGACGTGAATTCCGTGGTTGATAAACTACGAGGAAAGAACCAACTGAAGGTCAGTTAAATGATAAATATGCCATCGCTGTCGATGTGTTCCTACCTGCATCGACGCCATGATGGAAACCCCCCCCACCTCTGCTTCAGCGCGGAGTGGAGGACTGTACGTCACACTGTCACGTGACAGGAGTTGTTTTGACAGAATAAAAACAATCCAGCGATGTCTTCGTCCGGTCACCTCGGACTCATTTTTGTCCTCAACTGACTAATAAGGGGGTCTTATAAAATAATTTCACACAATTGAAAAACAAGTGTGGAGATGAAAATGATTTGGGGTCACGTGAGTCAATGACGTGACCTGCCAGACATTCCCGATATCATTATACCGAATATTGTTCTCGTGCCCGTTTTTAGCTGTCTCAATCGTGCAAATTGATGGAATAAGATATTATGAAGACACGACAATCATATTATCAAGAAGTTGAATATCCATCTCAAATCACAAGAGAAATGGACTATGCTCTTTTTTTAATCATAGCATCTCCTTTTACATTTGAGTTTAATGGATGTTATTTTTTATCATATCAGCTAGAGAGCCCTCTAAAATAAAGGAGTGCATTAATGTAATGATGTCAACAAAATTCAGAGCAATATATTCAACTGAACTGTAATTTGAGTTAACCTCCTCTGCTTTCTGCAAAGAAAAAGAAAATCTTTACTCGGTTACAAAATCTTAAATGAGCTATACTATGTGCTCCTAAGAGCAAATAAATAAACCAGATACTGAATATATCCTGCAGTGACCACATTGAAAACTTCTTTGCAGCAACATATATTCTGGATTTTAGAATCGTCTCAATTAACTTGCATGTGTCGTTTTATCTTAAGATGACCTAGTATGAATGAGAGAAGAGCACACCTGAAATATCATGTGTCCATAGCGTTAAATAACGTGTCTCATTTACTCCCTAACAACGGATTCCCAATGTAACCACACCATTGAGTACTTTCCCCATCACACCAAAATCGAGAAACCAAAGCATGTACTGTGATATCACACCTTAATCTTAATAGCGTAAAGTATCCACATTGATTAGTTTGGTGTATGATCAATTAAAACAGGCTATTGCAATGCAATATGGAAAAGCACACAACAAAAGCTGTCCTGCCTTAGGCCTGCAATAGCCATAACTCCCTTTTCAACATGTACAACCGTGACCGATAACTACACTAGGCCTCCAATTCATTGAAATTCAGTTCATAATCTACTTTACACATCCATCTAGCCTGACACATCAACCACATATAGAGCTAATAAGTCAAAACTGTTTTTACATTATTGTCGAAGAACTCAACACATAACCTACTAAGTATCGATCTCACCGTCCACACATGAACACAATCATGTATTTTAGGGTTAAAAATATGCCTGCGGTGAATTTTGGTGGTAGATTTTGTATGGTTTTTCCTAGGCTAAAACCAAAATAGACAACTATGCCGGTATTCGTGAATAGGGTATTTAAAGTCAGAGGTATGGAAGCATTTCTATGTAGCAACTCGAAAAATACACAGTGCTCACCAAACAGGTCTTTATTAATCTCGGGCGGTGAGAAAACATTTATGGGGTGGGGGCATAGTTATCACATTCTGGGGCCAGTGCAGCCCGCCATATCTGTATTACATTAAAATGAAATCTTTCATACTAATACAATTATGACAGAATGCCAAGTGCAAAAAAAATAAAATGATAACATGATAACATACTTATCGGGTTGCAATAAAGTAACTGGCAAAACAATTTAAATATTTTCAAAGAAACAAAAACATATCTAAAACGTTTTTTTTTAAGCTGAAACATTGTTTCTGTAACTTTAGCAATCCAAAAAGTTGGCAGCCATGAGCAATTCCAGTGCAATCTCCGGAGCGATGGGGAATTCTGGGATTTCTGTGGAGCTGTTGGTGTAACGGACCTTGTAGGTGAAGTACATGCAGACCTTAGACAGGACGTGAGAGGGAATCTCCCTGAAGTTCACTTCGTTGGTTTCATTTTCAGCAAACTGACCTGTAGATGAAGGGTTACAGTAGGTGTCTTGAGCTTGAAACAACACATTATGGACATAGAGCTCTGAATTCAGGCAATGTAAAAAATACTGAGTAACCTATCCTGGATATATCTGCAAAATGCCAACCACAAAGAAATACAAATTTAACAGGAGGGGTACCTCTTGTTAAATTACCACTGTACGTAGGGAGTATAGTGCCACCTTGCGGACATCTAAAATTAACTTATTGTTAAATTAATACACCAATACCGTGAGTATGGTCTTGAACCAGCAGACTCAATCCCAAGAAACTGTTTTTATTTAAGTTCAATTCTGTTCATTATAAGTTTAAAAAGAGACGAGGTTGTCTTAGTATTTAAAAAGGATCAACCCTGATTTTAAATTTGGACCAAGGAGAACAAGTCAGTTTTTTTCAGACTGCATGCCTGAAGCAATAAAGATGGCTACTTTAACATTCCTGGAACATGTAATCCCAGGTTGTACAACTCTACAGGACAGTGTGACGAGTGTTAAAATCCTCTGCAGGAATTCTCACCTGGTCCGCTCAACATGGCTTTGATAGTCCCAGATGTCAAAGCATGTTCTCTTTTTACAATAAATTCGTGGCCATCTGAAGAGATCAACTTCACATACATGGCATCTGGCCCTTCACAGCCACCATAGGTCCTCTCTTCACCGTCTGTGAAGCGACAGACACTGACATCACTGAAACAGGTAGTAGCCAAGTGCTTTGCTAACACACACACACATATACATTTCACCAATTGTAATAACATTAGTGACTTGGAATAATCGCCGGAGACAGTCAGACGGCTGTGATTTGGCCCACAAGCGAAAATACTGATTCGCGAACCCGACATGTAATGAATTGGAAAAACGGATTTTAAATTTCTAGCACGGTACGGGATCATTTACAGCCCGGGTCAGTTGATCACTCACCCATCCTGTCTCCAAATTCCTGTCGACCCTGAAAAGAAGCATAAGGAAAAAACACGTTACAAAACACCACTGGCACGATCGACTCTTAATGAGGACACAATGTTCCCGGAACACACAATATCAAGTGGCCTTCAGCGGGGCGCCGGCTGCAGAACTGTGAAATTGTGTTTTCGTTAGCAAAGACTAGGCCTCGTTTCTCAGCTGACACCGTAACGTAAAGAGCGATCACACAAATGGCCGAAGCTTGCGTTACGAGTTATGTGCCACAGCGTAACGTCGAAATCGGTTACAACGTGCATGCAGTTGCATCTTTATCTGATCTGAAAATTGGATACGTCGGAATTCATTTCTCCATCAATTGGTTAAGTGGCTCCGCAGCCGGGAGTGTTAGCCAGCAAGCTAACGCCTTGTCAAACGAAGAATAACGCTATAATTTATTGTATCGAGTATTTAGTGTGTCATATTCATTTCGGAAAACTTCCCGAAACACGCCAACAGAAAAAAGGACTTGGGATCACAAAACAAAGCGGTGTTTCTTACCACTCTGTAGAAAGTGGAGTGAAGGACTGCGTTTCTGTTTCAGCTAACGTTAGCCACCAGGCTGCTACCCGGAACCAGTTTGTGTGAACACTCGTCCGCGATAAATATCTTCCGTGGTCCGCCGCCGTCTAAAATCGTACCATGCAAAAATGTCCGTTTCCAAAATGAAAATGTAGTAACATAATTTGGGGGTTAACACCTTGTAAAAAAAAAAAAGTTCGTTGTAAAATTATGGTTGTAACGCTAATCACAAAATTGCCAAGTGATAGAATAACGCCCGAACCAGAGGCTATTCCTGGACAAATAATCTCTACCCGACACGTTTAAATATGAGAGAGGAATATGATGATGCATTATTTAATTATAAAGAAGTGCCGAGATGACTGTTGAAATTTACACTGGTTTATAGGGCATCCGTGGAGAGTTGAGATTGTACTATGACACCTTTGGGGGGCGCCTGTGTTTCAGGTAATCCTGTTTAACGGTCTTCAGCTGTGATGAGGGAGAGCAGGTGCTGATTGGACATGACAGAGACATTTTGCAGGCCCTTAAATCTGGATTTATCATTCAAGAATGAATGAAAGCGGGATTTAGAAAGAGAAAGATGCCATGCACTCTGCAGTAGCCTACTACATTCTTTTTAACGTCCAGTTTGTAGAAATCAATATTATTATTAATATTATTTTAATAACAAAAGCACAAGTATTCAGCTATTTGAATAGTATTATAACCTTACACGCTCGCCCACAAGACCCACATTAAAAAAACTAGATTATAAAGTGTGTTGCTTGTGGCTTGTATCAAGAAACAACCAGTACAGTTCACTAAGTCTGCACGTTGTGTCCGCCATAGAACCCAGACAGTTGGGCACATACTGCAGTCACGGTCAGATTCAGAATGTGACTTTGCCCTGATCCTGCCTGGAGTTCTGTTTATGGGGGAAAAGTGATGACTGTTGAAAGCTGAGACTTCCATATGGACGCAGAGTTATCCGAGCTGTGGCACGAACAGCAGTCCAGCACAGTTAATGCTCCTCATGGAAGACGGTAAGGAGTTCCTAATGCTATTGCTCATAGACAGATATTAAGGTTGTGCAACTAGTGGGATAAAGGGGATATTTTTTTCCAGACCTGTTTAATTGACCGTGCCCATTGCTACAACAGATTTCAATGGTGACTTCTGCAGAGGTGACACCTGACCTGATATTTGTCTTACAGTAATACCAGGCTTAGCTACGCTGTCATTTTGTGTTCAAAAAGTTACAGTAGCCTGCCTCCTGTTGAGACACTTAGACACACACACACACACACACACACACACACACACACACACAACCAAAAACAATCACTGACCTTCCAGTCCCCATTACACCATTAGTGCTTATGATCAGAGCGTGCGGGTGTCGGCATGCGCTTTGATGTGTCTCTGATACGACTCACCCCGCTGCAGCTGCTCTCAGCTCTATTTCGGGGAGGCCGCTGTGGGCCCTTAGAACAGGGCTTCCTTAACATACACATACACACACACACACAATAGATTCGAACAATCTTGTCAGGCCAAGTGACATCATCTGTCCTTTTAACACAACAACTGCATACTCTGTCAGATCACACTTTCTTGCACACACCCACGCCATTCTGAAATGGTGGGATGCAGTTAACGTGCTACAGAAGGCACTTGTCCATCTTTACGCTTGTTAGCCTAATTACCTGTTGATGTTTGTTTAGAATCTTACTCAAATGGGTCACATTCAGCATAGTTTTGCATTCTCATTGGCTTGAAATTGTGCAGATACATTCATGTTTACTTGGTTATTTAGAATATATATATATATATATATATATATATATATATATATATATATATGTATGTATATATATATATATATATATATATATATTTATTTATTTATTTATTATTTTTATTTTCAACATTTCCATACTAACTAAACATACAATTTTATGTAAAGATGGATATGGGATGTTAGATAAGTAGATACGACAAGGACTAAAAGTAATTTGACTACCTAATTTTTATCTACATCAATGTCAATATAAGTTGGTCAAATGTCAACACATTAATTTATGAACCGAACAATTGCTCAGTTGAAGAGGACGTGAATGAAACCAGGTCAGAATTTTAGTCATTGTAGGAAAAGATGGGGGGAGGAATTTCGCTCTGAAAAGAGGAAAAGGCCTGTCACAATGAATTTCAGGGTACTGTCCCGTTAGCCTGCAGGGAGTCACAGTGCCCTGCAATCCTTGTGTTGCTCCCAATCCCAGCATCCCATGGCCCGTCAGAAACAATCATATCCCATCGAATGAAAGGTAATATGTAAAGTGTGTATGTGAACATGCAACGTAAAAAGAATATGTATTAATTTAAAAGAGCTCTGCTTCTATTTTTGGTTAATGGAATTTGGTTCATATAGACAACGACAATCAGCTGTAGTTATATTGTGCACATAATGCATAAGAAAAATGACTTTAACAGTCACCAATGGACTCTTTACATGTCTGTTTTCAACAAAACCGTGTTAGTTTATTGTCCATACAGAACGAACGCCTCAAATGGCATAACAGATGGATAAATGGACTTGACAGGCATTTACTCCCAATAGCTTGAGGCTAATGCACCGTGTTGTTTGTTTGAACTATGATGACTCACCCTAGAGACCCCGACGATAAAACCCTCACCGGAGCTCACTTGTCGTTAGATAAACAGGACTTGTCAAGTACTATACTGTATGAAAAATGGCACGTGGTATCATTTATGACATATTAAGTGATGCTAAGCTAGGCTTGCTATGCAAGGCATGGAAAGGGAATCTGCTTAATACTGATGTCTGAGCAACAGTTTTTTTTAAACACCGGACACCGATATCTTCTCACTGCTTACTAGCCTCAATCCAATTTTAGAAGGAAAAGTTGCGTTGTTAGTCATAAGAAGAAGGCTTGGTCTCAGAGATCTACTAGTTCATCCACAAGTTACGGAGGAGTTGACAATGAGTATTTGTTGCTGTTGACAGGTACTCCTGTTCAGGATCATAGCTGTCACTGGAATCAGTTTTATGGCTTCTATGAAGGTACGATATGCTTATACGGTTTTAGTTTATATATGTCCAGGACTGCTTGTGCAACAAAATCTTGTTCAGAATAGTAACAGAGATATTCTATACTATTACTGACAAGCTTCAAATGGAGGTTTTATGTACCAGAATGACACACTCTGATAGTAAGTAAGTAGAGTAATCTATGAGGAAACATTTCTGGGATGCTATAACTACCAGTAGCAATGACAACTGACATTATAATCTTTGGTTCAATGTAAACCAACACGGTTGAAAATTATGATAAACAAATAGAAATATGATTTGACATTTACTGCTGGCCCAATCATCTCTAAGATTGACACTATGCAAACAGCGTGAGAGGAAGGAACTCTGCTGGTTTTGCAGCGCCTGCCGTCGTCGGGGGGGCAGTGGGCCGAGCAAGTGCAAGACGTGGCGTTGCTGATTCCGGGCAGGTGCCACGGCTGCTGTAACGCTACACTAATCCAAGGCCGATCAGCAGTGGAAACAGGACAATCTCACCAGAGACAAACTGGGGCGCCTGCCCGCGCCAGCCCCACAAATGCGAGGCTCCCCGACGAAGACTTTGATTTCGCACCCACTCTCCGTCTCCCACCCACCTGGATGTCATTATGAGAAGGTCACCACGAGGCCATCGTTGCTGGGAGGAGAAGCGCGGATGAGACGTCGAAACTCTGCGGTGCAGAGCTGAACGTCACGGCAATATATTACGTTCCATTGATGTTTGTGGTTTATTTTATGGTGTGCTGTAGTGTTTATATTTCAAGAGAAAATAAATATGACAGATACACAACATTTGGTTTAGTAAGGCATAACATCTTTATTGTTATACACGTAAATTGATCTCCAAAGACTTTGCACAAATCAGTGGGGTAACTTGAACCTTGAGATATCAAAAGTCTCGCGCAGTTCCTCAATATATCTTAAAATGCTCAAACAAGTACATCTGCCTTTTACATCCCCAAATGGTACATACAGTACAACCAATTAGAAATAAGGTTTTTTTTTCCACTGTCAAACATTTTCCATATGTGCATTACATTACCAATTACAAACAAGTTATATTCATTGTCAAAATACAGGTGTGCAAATTGTTAGAAAAATACCAACTCATACCAGATTCTGGATTGTGCTCTGTAAAAATCCTTACAAATAGTATATAATAATCTATATATAAATGACTCCAACATGCAATGTTGCATTTCAGAAATGTAGCCTATAGACAGGCTGTTCTGTTAAACCCTCGGAAAACTCCAGTCCCCACCGTGCTCTTGTAAAGACAGATAAAACAAGAAAGGAGGATTTAGCAAAGACAAGGGGGGTGGGGTATTGTTATTTAATACAACACATTTATAATCTAACATATTTTTTTAAAAATAATATAGTGTCTTGGTCTGCTTTTGTTGTTTATTCCACAATTGAATGAATATATTCTGATAGTTATGTGGGCGGTTTGCCAACATCTAACAGACGCAATGTGCTGCTCATTGCACGGACGGTCGAGTTAAACCTCAAAACGGAGTGGCAGCAAAAACACAGACATATTAAAGCCCTTTTTATGATGACCAATGCTCACAATCACTTCAGTTGGATAAATAATCAACCTGGGTATTCATGACAATACTGTATATGTCAACCATATAAATAACCACTTTTAAAATCAAAAGAAACTCATGCCATATCTTGCAACAAAGACTACAAACAATTGCGATGAGGCAAGTTAAAAGCATGACTCAGGTGACGACAACAGTGAAAGAATCCTTCCCACAAGACACAGTTAAGACAAGGATGGCATCTCCCTACCCCCCCCTCCCCTCCTCATCTTTTTCTGAGGTAAACAGTAGTACTGTTAAAGACTTATAAAGGCATCTGTCATTCTCCCTGCTGCCACATTTTCCCATGGCCTCAAACCTGAATAGATTCAACCTCCACTGTCCACAACAGTCTCGATCCAGTCTCACGAGAACGCGCGCCCTGCTGGGCCTGGGGGAAGCCGTCGCGTGAACTGCCTTCTTTGCATTTTAGTGGTATGATGACAACATTGAAAGCAAAGGATTAGAAAGAAGGAATTTGAGCAGAAGGGGGTCATTCTCCTCCTAATTTAATAAATAACATAAGACATTTGTTACTTCACTCTTAAAGAGCTAGATAGCTTTTAAAAGTGTGAATCACACATAAACACAATGCTGGCTGATAAGTATCACCCTCCGGCACAAAACCGCTCTATTCTAGTTTTGAGAGTCCGTCAAAATGAATTCAACATAGGATTGTTGTAATGGCGCTCACCCCACCCCATTTTTGGCAAAATATGCTATAAGCTTTATTTGGAAAAACCAATACAAAACACATTGCACGTTCAGTAACACGAATGTGTCAAATTACAACTTAATTGTGAGAAATTAGTCAAATGTTAAAATAAAAGGGGAAAACAAATTTATTCACTCATTTTGAGAGGAGAAGAAATTTCCATTTCGAACTACAAGACTGCAAGTAACCAACATTCAGAGAACATCAACAAACAAAACAAAACAATAAAACAGAAAACAAACAAAAAACAGAAAACAACATTTTTAAATTGTACCATGCACGGGGAGGGTTCCAAAGCAGTGCATCCTGGGTTACTCGAGAAAAAATATGATGACGAATGGATGAACAGCGTAAGACTGGCTAGTGGCCGTGCTAGCACTGACTGTTGGACACGGCCGTGCCCAGTTTCCGCCCCCCCATCCCACCCCACCCTCCCTGCCGGGTTCACATCTCACCATCAAAACGTCAGATGGCAAAATAGAAAGGCAGCTGTTTGCTCCCGTCATCTAAAAGTGCATCTCCACACTCTTCCGGCAAACTCCGTCTGCCCAGCGCTCCCTCTGCCAAGGCGGTGGCCCACAGAGACCAGCCGCTTGGGATCGGCACACGAGCGGGTTTCAATTACTTCTTTTTTTTTCTTTTTTCGGACCGTGTATGTTTGGTTGCATTTTTAAACTTTTTTTATACATATATATATATTTTTTTCAAATCTCACGATACACAACCTTTCAGCTCAGCTTTCAGAGAAGCCAAAGGAGTCCTAATTCACAGAGCTGGCCCTTAACGGAGAGGGCCCACGACGGGTCGGCGGTAGTGAAGCCTTCCTCCTGGTTCTCTTGGGTGTCGCGCTGATTCTTAAACACCTACGGCCACCCCCGTATCTCACTGGTGCCATTTTCTTTCCTCAAGGCCGGCGATGCAACTGTACCGGTTGCCATGGTTTCACTGCAACATAAAACAGTTTCTTTGGCTTTATTGTAGCTGCCTGGTGCCTTTCAGAGACACATATTGGCATGCTGGACACACACGACATGGGGTACAGTGGGTGGATTCATCTTTAGAAATATATTCATTTTTGGTTGATGAGTAAGAGGGTCATGAAAAACAAACTTACCATAAAACAGTGTCATCATGTCAGAAAATGGACAAATATAATTGCAAGGCCAATATTCAGCAGCATTACCATAGCGACGAGAACCGAGTTAGGACCCTGCAAAAAATGACACAGTGATAAAGATCAGGTTTCACATCAGGCAATCTACGACAACAATAACATGACACTACATGCAGCACCTCTTAACGCAACAAGATGGTTAAACTCACTGTTTCCTCCACGTTTTCTGCAATCTCCATACTGGCTTTCTTCGCGTCTGCGAGGCTCTTTGGCTTTAGGGAATCCTGCTTCCTGAGTCTTGGGTCGCTCTTGTTCTCCCGTAGGGAAGCTGGCTTCGGAGGGGGGACACTATAGGACCTGGTGGGCTGTGGGGGCATACGTGCTAGGTCCAGGATACTAGGCTCTTCTTCTATATCCTCCTCGGGCTCCGGCGGCGGTGGGCCCCTCGTAGGGGTCTTCACGTAGTAACTGTGGTACTCGCTGTGGAGCTGGCCGTTGACCGGCAACGTCGGAGGATTTGGAGAAGACGCCGGGGTCGGCTGCTGAATGTTGGTGGGTTCATTTGAAGCCTCGATGTGCACATGAGAACCTTTAGGGCCATCGGCGACGGACGGCCTCTCCTCTTTACTCAGCTTTCGACTAGGGCGCTCGTCCTTGCTGGTCTTATGACTTGACTTCTCTTCCTTGCTGGTCTTGCAGGACGGCTTTTCCTCTCTGCTGGTTTTGCGGCTGGTGCTGTTGGCGAGCTGACCTTTCTTCTTGCCGGAGTGAGGCGAGGGGGGAGGCGTGGCCACAGGACTGGTAACAGTTGAGTGGGGAGGAGTGGTACCTTTGCGGTAGAAGTGGGGAGAATCTTTATGGGAGGTGTCCTTCTTTTCAACAGGGACCTCTTTAATCTCCACGGGCTCCTTCACTGGTTGTTTTAAGTAGTCAAGTCCTGCAGAGGTGAGAGAGGTGACACACATTAACATGGTAGATACATGCAGAACCATAAGCATTCCTCTAACGCAACGGTTCCCAAACTCAAGAATGCCGCGGCCACTTTGACACACCTTATTGACACTTGAGATCCAGCAAAATCCAGAAATGCCCGCGGTGGCCACTGTCCAAGATGCCAGATTATGACAGTGGAGCACTGACGCAGTATGGCCTAGTACAATTTTAGAATCGCAGGAGGCGCAATATTTGTGCATTTAAATATAAATCAAATCATCTCCATTCTCATTTCAGATTTAAGACTTTTTTTTTAAAGAATTCATTAAATGTTGATTTTAAGATGTTTTTCCATGAAAATGAGAATAAATATCAGTATTCACTGTTATATCGCAAATCATGTCATGTCAAAACAAGTCATTATTCATCAATTAATTAGATAGTCCATCAAAATGGTTCAGCCCCACAGAGAAACCCTAATTTGCAAACCATCCTGCCCGACTGGAGAGTTCCACCGCAAACTAGATTTAAATCAGAGCCGGCCCTCAGCGCAGTTGAACTTTCAATTGAAATATTCATGAATCAACATTATTAATGCAATCATTCTGCAAAGACTGGAGGGAGACAGGGGAAACTAGACTGATTAATGCAGGGTCACAAACACCATTTCACTAAGTGAGCCTCCTCTGTAGGATCACTTTCTATCATCGGCAGTTATCGTTCATCAGCAGGCTGTTTTTCTGGAAAAGGCCCAACGTTCTCAGAGTCTCAGATGCAGTGACGCCTCGTTTATCATGCTCATGACTTCTTTCCTCCTCTCCTGGAATTTACGGGCTATTTACGTGCTAGTGGACACAGGTAGTATAAATGCACACTGATCTTTTACTATATGTTTAGAATTTTCCTTATGGATATACATGTATGTGAATGTAAATGCCCTTTGCATGTGAGAAAAATTACACTTTGTCTATACTGAATTTATATTTATTAAAGACATCAGGCTCTTGGTCCGCGGCCCCCCCCCCCCCCCTCCCCTCTGTTGCCTGAATGAAAAGGTGTCAGAGTGACAAAGAAAGAGACATTGCTGCTTTTTAAAAAAACAGTACATCAGATGGTATGAGCAGGGAAGCATTGTGCACAACCCATAAAGACAACTTGAAATACAAAGAAACTAATATAGATATAAAAAAAGAAATAATAACATATTGATAAGAATGATTTTCTTCAGTAGAATAAGAGACTAACTTGCCTGTTTTTCCACTCTTGTTCACCCACACCAGACACTATATCCCGAGTCTGTATAGTGATGTGCCTCTTATGTGTTTAAAAACTGCTCATCTCAGGGATCTGCATGCCCCCTATATAGTGTACATATTGTAATTCAGTGTGAAATATTTTCTACTGATTTAGAATGAGGAGCAGCTGTACAAACATCCCATGAAGATAGCGGAGCAAGTGCACCCCATCCCATTCAGAGTAAACAGCCTCATTGGAGAATCTTTTGGGCCTCAGTACTCATAAGCTCAGTAGTAAGTTCGTAGGCTGCCTGGCATTCTTAACGACCGCCACAACCCATTAAGAGCCACTACAAAAAAGACAGCCGGAACATTTGGAACATCCTTTGAAGGCTTAATATATCCGCTGCGCTTAATTTCACACCATAACTCAATAAGAGTTAGGGCTTCGTGGGCGGGTCGGCCCAGTTTCACACTGATTGGGGACAGATTCCTGCGAGGGGTTCCAGGCATTTTCTGAATACTTATCAGCTCAAAATTGACCCCCCCCCCCCCCCCCCCCCAGCCTCACGTTCACATAAAGAAACAGAAAAAAACATTTTGGACATTTTACTTTGAGGAATCTTGTGGTTGTTTTGCTGAAACTAATATGTCGTAGATCCCGTTGTGACGAGTGAGGGGAGATTAGTCTTCCAGGTCAGCTGGAACATGTAACGGGACCCAAACAGATGAGGTGTTTCTTACATTTGAACTTTCATCAGCTATGCTGAGTCTGCAGCCTCCTCAGGACGGGCATTTGAATGGGCCTTGGCATTATGAAAAAAATACTTATTTCTAATAGAAGAAATTTCAACAATTGTAACGTGTCGTCGTTGTTTCTTTGGGGTTCATAATACCCGCTTTTGTTTAAGCTTTGGTTGACAGTTTGCCTCATGGTAATCCACAGCGCATTTTCTGCTCCGGTGCACTCTTGGCAAAACACACGTGCCAACAAAAACACACACACACACACACACACACACACACACACACACACACACACACACACACACACACACACGCATGTGACCAGATACTCTAACAAACACAACAGATTGGCTCTTTAAGACCTAGCCTAACCCCTGCTGACCTGAATATGAGATGAAGAGCAGTAGCAAGAGGGCACCTTTGGTATGAGTGAGTATGCATGTACAGTATTTGTGTAATGGATGAGGAAGGGGAGGAGGAAGGGGGGGAGAAAGGGGGGGAGTACGGCGTGTGTTGCAATCACGTCTGTTCCCATTTGACATCATTTTGAGTTTAATGGGAGATCCAAATGGGGACAGTATGATACTATGTTGAGTGATAAACCTACATCTATTTTTACATTATGAATCGTGAAGATCAAACCCCGGCCTCAGGCTTTTGCCACCATGAATGATGACAGGTCCTGGTTACTGCCTTGCTTTTTCCTCTTTGTCAGATGCCCAGAGCTGCCAACGGGGACAGAAATATACATACTCAACTGTTAGCTTAAGTGTTTCCTTGTCCACTAGCATGTCTTCCAAGTGGAAGCAAAAGGCATTTTCATGGCTTACGTTTTATTTCATGCTGGATTATATATGTGGACTGTTGAGTGGGATGTTATCTCAGCATGTACTCCTTTATATTTAATACTGATGACACAGTTTGTTTCTTTCTAGATCTTCTCCTTCTCCCTCCTACTCACGGCAGATGGGCAGGGGGAGCCGTCATTGTTCAGCCAAATTACTTCCGCTACGGTTACATGAGCGCGTGTGCATGTATCTAGTATCTTGACTATTATCAAAGGGATTAGACTCTAAACCGGGATACTAATGAGCACTTTAGCACACTTACTCAAATGCAAATATAGTACAGCCATTTGTCTGAGGCAACCGGCTGCGTGGGATCAGGCTCTTCCTGACCGGGGGCCTCATGTTCACGTGAACTGATATGCGACTGATGGAAACAGGGTTTGCTGGAAGACACTGAACGAAAAGAGTCACATCCGGATGTGGAAATAAACAAGTGTTAAACATAGCTCTAAAGCTATGAGAATATGCCGATGCTTGAGAACCATTTCCTGGGAAATTAGCATTTCTTCACTACTCAGATTCCCCTTTTTCCCCCAAATGCTTTGGAAAAGAAAAAATGAATAGGCCGCACCCTTGAAAAGAAGTTGCCGCTTGACTTTGAAGTTCAGCTGAACTATCTTGAAACTTACTCTACCTGCTCCCATGAATATAAAGCAGCACCTGCTCATGTCTGGTTTTGAGGCTTTTATTGTTTCACCTGGACAAAGTCTACCTTGACTGGGTCAAATAGGGCGAAGCGGGATCCCTGCTCGCCCCCCCCCCCCCCCACCGACGGGCTGAAGGAGAGGACAGCTGCCCTGCGTCAGCTCAGGGGAGTAGCGCGGGGCCGAGCTCCTCTCGGTGCACAAGGATTTCAGCTATGTCTCCATTAGACCCCAGTGAGCACACATCGCCACCAAATATAACGCAATCAACGTCACCGCTCAGACCACGCCCTCCATAACCCTCGCCACCCCCCTGCTGTGTGCACCAATCAGAAAGGGTTCTGTTCCCCGTGACCCTCTCTTCCCTTTTGAGGTACATACTCCCAATATGGGTGATAATCTGCTATGAGTCTGAAACGCCAATTACAAGCAACGAGGGGCTTAGACCACGATTGTTACCCTTAGAGGACTTAAATGAAGCTGTGGGATTTGGGGGTGAGTGAGAATATTTCACTGCTCCAGAGGTAGACATTGAGGAAGCAGAGCAGATTAGTTTGGGAAAGTCACACAAATTCCTTCTAATGCTCCGAATGAGCGACTTTGTCTCACCGTAGCATCGGCGTCGACAAATCAACAAACAAAACCGGAATGTTTTTAAGCGCTGCATTTTTTTTTTTGTCTTCATTGAGGTTAACAACAACATGGGGTGAAATGCATTTATTGAAAGTCGCTTTGGATAAGAGCGTCGGCTAACTGACATGTGATGTAATGTAATGTAACACTGGTGGTCATTTTGCCAGGACGCTGCACGCAGGAGAAAGTGTTTGCACTCGTGTAACCTGCCACAGCACGGAGTGGGCCTTTCCAGATTCCCCAAAACTGCTCCTACGTCCCGGAAGAATCAAACTTATAAAATAACCTTTGTAAACCAGAAATAAAATGAACGTATTAGAAATGTTTTTGTTTTTCATTTCCGGTTGCAGGCGGCCGTCTGGCTTTTGGCCACCACGTTTACATAACCGGTCTAAACACTGTTGGACATTAGTACGGCATCTGCCTGCTTTCTCATTCATGGATCTGACTTATAAGGCAAGGACGCTCTCCGCGCAGACCCGTGAACCCGGATATAACCCGGCCCGCCGGGCATGATCGCAGTTTTCCACAACACAAACCAGCCGCGGGACGTCTCTGCCCCTTTCGGAGGCTTAGTGGAGCGACGCGCTTGAATGGGTCCCATTGTCAATCTGTGCGTCACCCACTATTTTATGGCGGGTGTTGGCCTGGGCCCAAGGTCGTCTCGCTCATACGCCTAAATATACAACAAACAGTGGCAGGGGCCAGATCTTATGCTGTGAATAAAAATAAAATCAAAAAGGTATGAAATGGCGCTAATGTCAGTCATATGCATCCACAGGATGCACTAATTCAATGTGTGAGCTCTAAACTTATCTTCATGTATCATTCTGAATTTAACCTGCTCCCGTGAAATACAAGAAAAATAAAGGTAACACTAAATTCAAAACTCTTTCGTTTAACCCTTTTTCTGGTGTTGTCCTCTTTGTGCCCTTGTGTTCCAGGAAGAGGATTCGTATTCCTCACTATTTGTGTAGTATTGTATGTCTGGAATTGCCTCGTAAAACTCTGCTTACCTTGTAAATGAACTAAACAGAGTTGAGTCAACAGCACCCTGTGAGCTGCAGGATGGCGGTGCGCCTGTTAAAACCTCCACGCAGGGGAAATATGAGAACGACTCTGTACAAGGAGGAGCAGGTTTCATTGACCTTTATGCACATACCTGTAAGTCAATTCCGCACTGGACTACGGCACCTAAGTTGGAGATGAGCAGGAAGGATCTTGCTGTTCTTTTCTTGTTTTTGAAAAAGTGCACGGCTACAAAGTTGAGCGAGTATCTCGGGAAAGAAACAATGTGTCTTTTGAGAGATTACCTTATAAACAGGCCCCCCATTGTGGCGCCAGAAGTCATCCTCAATACTTCTCCAACCTTATTAGACCTGGAACTGTAATCTGGAACTATGTAAATGTGATAATGTTAGCAATGAATGTCCTTCTCAATGGCGTCCGGTTTAAAATGTCGGAAAACCTTGATGGCAAAATGTAAACGCTTGAAATAACGTCACAGTATTGTGTTTCAACTCCTTGTATCTAGTAATATTTGCACATCGCTGCTCAGACTGTGGGATGTCCACACTACCCCTCGGGACACACTTCCAAGTATCCGACAGGTGATGCGCATGACTTGTAGGTGGAGGTTACCTGGTTGGTAGAAGTTAGGGGCCAGCTCCCTAGCAACCGCCCTGGCGATTTCCGAGTCGTGCACGGCAGAGACGGCGGCCTGGTCCGCGGCCTCGCTCTTTGTCCTGGCATGGGCGGTTCTGGGGAGAAAAAAAAAGCACAAACAGGGAATATATTAAAATGACACAGTAACTACGAGGTAATGGCAAACAGGATGTGTGGCACCACATTTAAAAGTTCAGGACAAACTATTAAATACCTGGTGTGCAACCGTGCCTGCATGCCTCCATGTCATCCACGACACTTACACCATCATCAGCTTTCCCCCTGCTTTTCTCTTTATTGCTCCTCAACTCTTTCCACACCCCTCTCTCCTTCTCCCCATCTTTGAGCTGTATCACTCAGCCTGTCCCTCTGGGAGACGACACAACATCTCCCCTTCCAAGCGTCTATCGCAAATTCAAATCCTGGTTTTCCAAATGGAGCGCAGCCACATCCAAACAAGACCTTAATCCAGCGTGGAGCCCTGCACTGCTGCTGAACCACACTGGAGCAGAGCCCAACAGGCCAGCACGCCTGCGTACGCACACACACACACACACACACACGCACACACACACACACAAATATGGAGAGGAAATAATAAGATACAAAATCCGAAGGTCAAACAGAACATTAAAAGGGTTTATCCTTTAACAGATTATAGAAAAGCATTGATGTCATTGTGGACATGTCCAAATGAAGACAGTAAAGATTATATTATATAGGTTTTTCAAACCCCGTAAGCGTTCTTAGCTATTGACATAAACACATGTATACAGCAAAGTGATGGCTGCCAGTCAGCTACTGGCCTTTGGAGCCCCATCAGCTCTACTCAATAAACATCCATCTTAAATAGGTAATGCAAATACATAGCAGTGCCTTAACTACAGCCAGAGAAAAGCCCACATCCACATCATCTATACAATGCTGACAAACACCAAAAGGCAGATGGGTAATACGCCGTGGAATCAATGTAAGCTTAACATTAGTGCTGAGAGATATTGTGGGAGTTTAACATGGAGAGGCAGACAGAGACCCGGAGGTTGACCTGCTTAACAAATCCCTGAAGAACTTGACCACGAGATATTGTACATATAAACATGGTAGTAGAAACACAGGGCCGTTTTTATAGAAGGACATATTCACTGGCAAGGAGGATGTTACAGTTACAACAAACTCCCGCCACCAGAAAAATTCCAAAAACACCTAATTATGCAAACATATTCAGTTAAAGTGCACCTCTTACACAATACACGACAACTGGGAAGTGGGAATGCGCGGATCCAGATGGACTGTCCAAGCATCTGCATAAGTTTTGACAGCTGTGCCTGGTGCCCTGCTTAATCCCACTCATCCATCTTGCCCCCTTTCCCTCAATCAATGCTCCTGTTCTTATTTCCGATCCTTCCTCTTCATCTGCCCATTGACGCTGCATCCCCTCAAACTCATTACTCCCCTCCCTCCCTGTGTGCTTCTGTCAGAGTGACCCCGACGGACAGACGTCTCTATTTCAGACTAGTCCTCTGTCCTTGGACTCTGGGCTGCCCTGTTTTTTTATCCACTGGGACAGTAACCCATATAAATATGCTGGAGCGGGTCCCCGTTTCACCCGCAGACAAAGGACACTGTCACGCTGTGTCTTTATGGCCTCTTAAAAACACTGACCAGCTGCAGATAAAAATAAGATTTAAGAAATTATAACATATCGCACAATGCTTTGCTTCTTTCCTCAAGTTATTAAAAAACACATAGGAATTTCACCGGCGGGGTTAAAAGCGGCTTCATAGTCCTACTGAAGACCACTTCCCTGTTTTAAAACCGGCATTAAAGCATTCCAGTTCCATCACACCGTCGCCGTCTGCACCGCAGACATACACTCGCCACACATGCTGCCGCGAGGACATAAATGCTTCTATTTCTGAAATGTGTCAAATGTGCAGTCAAACGAAAGGAGGTATGAATGCGTCATGAATGTATACGGTGTGGCCCCTGGCAGGTCCCAAGGGGTTTTAACGGTTCCCTTTAGGTGGAGCGGTCACGGGCAGACCCGGGAAGCGGTGCAGGCTGCTCGCAGACAGGATGTCTGGTCGTGGGAGGCGACAGGCAGAGCAAGGACGGGAGTAGAGGTGTGATCGAGCAGTGGAACGAGAGGCGAGAAAACATGGGCATGTGGAGCGTAGCGACGAGCCAGGTTGGTTGGTTTTCGGAAATTGTCGTCTAGTGTTCACTTTGAATCAAACTAGCGAGCCACACACGTCCCTTTCCGCAACGCACGCACGCACTGTTGAACCCGCTGTGATTGTTGTCCGTCAGAGGGCAGCGCAACAGGCGGTAAACACGCAGTTGAAATACAACACAATTCCAGTATTCACCGTCGGGCTAGAAGCATTTCTTAAAGCACTTCTGAAAGCTGAAGGAAATTGAGTAGGGGGGGTTTGACTACGTGCGCCCCGTGCCAAACCGCACACATTCATTTGCTGATGCTGTTATGTGCAGGAACAGAGACAAACTTTTCTTCAGGCCAAATTATGTGCTCCATTGTCAGGTGAAACAAAGTCTGGGTAAACAAAGAGTACGCAAACTCGCGATTGACCTCTGGGAAAAAGTTGCAGGACCCACGACTTGTCAGCAGTCTGCAAGGCTCTGCCCCTGAATACAAAGCAACACCTGCTCACGTCTAGTTTTGGACTTTGCCTGAGCTCCTGTCATTTTGAGTCCCGGGGGGGTCCAAGGAAATCCAAGTATTTAAATCCATAAACGCACCTGCTGGAGCAAATGCAAATATCACACGAACACACCCACAAACGCACAGACACACACTCCAGTTTGTTTGAATTGTGATGCACGGTGTAGAAATGCACCAATTGTTTATTACTTTGCTAGTAATTGCTTTGGACCGAAGGCCTGCTTGGGAGATGATATCGATGAAGACCCGGGGAGATCCATGGTCCTTTCATTACTGTGACAAATGAACGGTTTGTTAAAGTGTTGAGTCAGTCTGGCAGTCAGTGGAGCGGTTGCGGCTCTTTTCATGTGCATGTGTGTTTAAGATAAAGATAACAACACTCAGTTATTTAGAACTGCTGAGTTATGCATCTCCGTCCTTCTAATTTTACTGCCGGGTTCAATTTCAAACCCAAGCTCCCGAGACGGTGCCGCCTCTTTTAAGGTTCTTCATAACGAGGCCTCCTGCAGGATTTAGTACATGTGTTTATTACATTATGTGCTTGTTGCGCCTGGTTGTGTTCAAGCTTCAGTCCATCACTCCCCGGGCTATGGCCTACTTGAAGAATCTCCCTCACATATGCTGACACAGTTCTGCCCCCCTTCCTCCACCATTTATCTTCTTCCAATAAAGCTCCCCTCTCCTTCCTCTTTACCCTCATCTTCCTTCTCTCCTTCACACAACACTTTCCCCCCTTCCCCGCCAATGCATCCAAGCTGGACAACTGGACGCTGACTTATTGGCATGGGCACTCAACCGATATCTTCTAAACTTAAAAATCGCTCTCTTTCATCGCCCCACAAGTAAGAGAAAGCCGCTCCATTTGTTATGGAGCGGATAATATACATTAAGAGAAATGACTGCCCTATATCTTTCCCAAAAAGGACCCCAGGTCCAAAAGAGACAACACAGAAAGTCTGCACAAATTAGCACTTAGTTTGCCCTGCACATATCTCTTATATCCGTGCAGGCCCGCTATTGAATTCCCGCCTGGTGCTAATTCAGGATTACTCAAGCGTGACTAACACCATTAGCGGTTAGCTAAAACCGACTCTGAAATTATTCAGGAATTATTCCTGGGTTTACGGTCTGGGCTCACATTACCATGGGCTGCAGTGGCGGGGGGACAATGGCTACGGCAAATGAGGCTTTAAATGGGAGACGAAATGTTATTATGAGATAAGCTAACTTTATCCTGAAGAGAGAGCTATAGTGCTGTACAAAGAGAATATTTTGGCATGGCTACTGTATTTAAGCATTTTAGATCTCAGGACATGCTGGTGGTTTGGCAATGCAGTGGCAGAAAAAAAATGAAAATAAGGCAGGGTGCAGGAAAAACGGATCAATGAGCAGAGATGACACAGTAATTAAAATACTGTCTATTGCAAAGTATTGTATAATAATGAAGGTCTACACGAGAAGGACTAAATGCACAGCAGAGTAGGATATGAGTTTTGGATGATGCAGCAGTTGTGAAATACATGCACTATCTTGCTGAGAGTATAAGGAGCTCATGCCTGTATGTTAAATATGAAACCACAGCCGGGCTATTGTTATCATAAGTCTGGACTGGACTGGATACCAAAGCAAAGTGCTAGCTTGGGTCTGTCTGTCTAGAATGACTCATTCAAGTAATGCTAATTAATTCATTAACTAATTCAGTTTTCACAAATTTGTAAAGAACTGAACTGAAATATATTTTGATACCATGTAGTTTTTTTTTTAATCTACATCTTCATGATAGAGAATACTTGGTACTCATGATACAAAGGACATTTCCGGGAAGAATGAGAAGAATCCGTTTGGATTAAATTGGAGAAAAAAAAATCCGCAATCTCGACAGACATGTTTGGCAGTAGATTACAAACATATCTTCTCTCATTGGCGTTCTCCATCCAGCAGCTCTGAACTGAAAACCTCCACCGAGACTCCAACTGGCCTTCATCCAAAAACACATGGCTACAGGTACGTGTGTGTGTGTGTGTGTGTGCTTCTGCATCAGGATTTAAGTGTGTGATGGTGCTCCGCAGAAACTACTGATAACACGCGTTTACCGAATACTTTATTCTAATGAACACTGTGTGGGATTTTTTGTTTGTTGAGGTACACGTTTAGAAGTTGTGGTACGCACTCCTCTGACGGCAACGTGAGACCTCGTTGGCACGTTGAGAGAGTGACATAGAATCCCTTGCCGAGATGATCCCTCTGGTTTTGGTGAAGGGCAACGGCAGGGATTCAGACCTCAGCTCTGTGCTCTGTGTGTCAACGCCGCCAGTGAAACATGGCCACAGCTGATACAGCTAATGGCACAAAGGGGGCGGCGGGCGACGGTGGCCAAACCGCACGCACAAGGCAGGAGCTATGAAGTTTTGA